TGGGTCTCATGTTCGGTCACACATTTCTGGGTTTTCCCCCTTTTTCGTTCACTCAATCTTCACACAAGCCCTTCAATCAGGTTTGATATGTTCAAATTTCATGATATAGTTTGAGTTTTTTTGATTCGTTGAAGGATGGGTTTTGATTTGGATCTTGATTGTTTGTGAGTAGGCAAGTAAAAGACCAGGTGGGATTCAAGCGACACTATCGAAGAGAGGTGAGTATTTCATCAAGTGGGTTTCTTGTATGGGGACTTGGTTAATTGAAAGTAGTTCTCTTCGTTTTTTTCTATCTCTGTTAATCAGCATCACTCCTGTTCAGCTCAGCAAAATACCCTTTTGTATATCATAGATTCTGATGTGCATCTTCCATTTGAATCCTGTTTTCTTGGTTTGTATGCACAGATGATGTGTGAAATATAGCTTATGAAACTAGATAAAATAGGAATTGATGAAAAACTTASTTAGTTATGAAACTTAATTAATTGAAGTACTTATTASGGCTGTAGTGGTAGTAGGACCAGTGTTACCAGAATGCATTTCGTAGTGAAAAMACACTAAACAGCTCACTGGGGGTAAATTGGTCATTTTAACCAGTTCTGTCCTATCCTGTCCTGTCTTACCAAACACTGAACAGCTGTCCTGTCCTGTCCTGTCCCGTCCTGTCCCGTCCTGTCCTGTCCAGTCCTGTCTGCGCACCAAACGCACCCTAACAGATCTTGTAATCTAGTACATAACTAACAGGGACGAAAATGTAATACCGATGAAAATGAAGGGGCGTAATGTAAATTCATCATCATTATAATCTTCGTAGGCATTCTTTGACCTCTCTCTTTCTCCCCCTTGAAACAAACCTGGTTTGTCTCCTACACCAGGTCTCCCACCTCCTCATCCTCCCTGCGCCGCAATCCAACAACGAACAACTTCACGGCGGTCAAACTCAAACAAACAGGGGATTAATTCATCGAAACAGATTCAAGATGCAGCAGACCAACGGCAACGGCACCGGAAACGGAACCGGCAACGGCAACAGCACCGGCAACGGCGCTGGCTCTGATTTGACTCAACAACAGCAACAACAACAGCAGCAGCAGTGGTTGGCGATGCAGCAGTATCAGCAACAACAATGGTTGGCGATGCAGCAGTACCCTGCCGCCGCCGCCGCGTCTATGGCTATGCATCACCCGGCGGCCATGATGTACCAACAACCGCCGCCACMSTATATGCCYTATCAYTATCAGCARCAASRGYAKCAACAGCAGTMWCMACAACAKCAARSARGYAATCAGATTCAGAGTTCGAGYGAAGATAAYAAGACGATCTGGGTYGGTGATCTACAACACTGGATGGACGAAACTTATCTCCAGTCTTGCTTCTCGCAGATCGGCGAGGTTAGGGTTTTGACTCTCTTGTTTCTTTCTTTGTTTTAGAATCCTTATTAGGTCTGTTTTTTTAACTTCTGTTGCTTTGTTAGTATTTGGAATGTAACCAATTTAAGAAAAAAGCAGGGGCAAAATATGGATGGAATCCATAGACAGTATGTACGAACAACCCTTTTCCAAATTCCAACTAAAAATTAGATTTTTTATGCCAAAGATGGTACTGTAGTACTTCTACTACTTGTTTTCATGTTTAATTATGTTTTCCAACATTTTCTGAACAATCTTTAGAACCCATATGAATTTTGAAGGTCAATTGTAAATGTAAATGCAGTTGACATCAAAAGTCAAACTGTAGATCCTTCTTTGAAATGGAGGGAAAAGATTTAGAACATCTAATTTTAGGGAATAACTGGTGCAAAACTTGATGTTTCAAAGCTTTACATGTGGATTTGGCTTCTTTGTTGTCATGACCATTAGGGAATAGTAAGAGTGGTGGTATTAGTCTCTTTCCGAAAAGAATCTGTACAAGCATTAAGTTAATTTCGTTCGTATCCAGAATTGGGCTCATGAATTTAGTTTTGACAATTACAAACAGAGATGGTATCATGAAATAGTGGGATAACTGAGGTTTTAGGAGACAGGAAGTGGTGTGTGTGTGTGCTTGGAAGTTGTTTCTGTTTGTCCTTCTCTTGAAATTAAATAGCTTATCTTGTTCAATAATAGCTATTTAGAAGTCAAGTTGATTAAGTAGAAGGGCATGTATGGCATTATTGACCATTCGGGGTTGTTCCCGCAGTTCACTTTTGTCTAGATATTTTGGATTTCTTATGTAGTTACCTAAAATGGAATAGCCCAATTGGCCAAGAAGTTTCAAGTTTCGATCTTTTTCTAAGGGTTGAAAAGCTTGAGAATGCCTCACCTGGTGATATACCAGTTTCTATCATTCTCCCTCTTAGGAGGTCTTAAAGATGAAATGTGATTCATTTATGGAATTATAATCTAGTTACGGAAAAATTTCTACAAGAAGTATTCGACAATTGCAGAGCCGCTCTTTAATGATAGATTAGGCAACAATTTTCTTTATCATGTTAGTGAAAATGCCTTTCTTTTTATGACCCCCTTTGCAGAATCCATTATCATGCTGTTTCACCTAATCTTTACACTTTCTTTGTATAATGCGTAACTTGTTTGATTGACATACTTTCTATTTATTCATTCCACATTGGAAAGCAGTTTCTCTGGCCTTATTTACCCAATAATGCGGAAAGGTGACTCTGTATTTCATTAAATGTGCAGGTACAATCTATAAAGCTGATACGGAATAAGCAGACTGGTCAGTCAGAGCGTTATGGATTCATCGAGTTCCTTTCTCATGAAGCAGCCGAGAAAGTTCTTCAGAGCTACAATGGGACCATGATGCCAAGTACTGATCAAGCTTTCCGGTTAAACTGGGCAAGCTTTAGCACAGGGGAAAAGCGTGGGGATACTGGTTCGGATCTGTCTATATTTGTGGGAGATTTGGCTCCAGATGTAACTGATACATTGTTGCATGAAACATTTGCTAGCAGATATCCATCGGTCAAAGGTGCAAAAGTAGTTGTTGACACAAATACTGGCTGTTCAAAAGGTTACGGATTTGTTAGGTTTAGTGATGAAAATGAAAGAACAAGGGCTATGAATGAAATGAATGGCCAGTATTGTTCAAGCAGGCCCATGCGCATCGGTGTTGCAACTCCCAAGAAGCCATCTATCCAACAACCATATGGACAACAACAATATTCGTCACAAGGTGTGGCTTTTTGCCCCTTCTATCAAGATTCCTAATTTCTACTTTTGAATTTTTGAATGTTTCTAATTTGGTTTCTTGCTTCTATTTGTATTGTGTTCTTCATCCTTTTTGAATGCTCTTTAGTCACCAATGCTCATTTTTCCAATTTAGATGGGATTATGAACGATCCAACATCTTCAATGACTGTAATTTTTTAAGATTTCATCATCCTCCTGATGTTTTTCGTTGCTAAGGCATCATTGAGAGGCTGCTAACAGGAATTTGAGGCAGTTCTTTAGTAAGACCACAGGGGTCCTTCATTTAGCATCCTTTTTATTCATCAATCTGTTGTTTCTGTTTTTGAAAAGTTCCCGATTTGATTCTTGGTCAAAAACAAATTTCTACTTCTTGCAAGAAGGGAGTTAATGATGGAAGTAAATAGAGGAAGATAGGAAATGAAAAGAGAAAAGTGGGCTTAAATATTTTTAATTTGTCGGGTTTTATGCATTCTGTGACGATTAGTGATTTGAGTATGCACGTAACTCTTTAGTATGACGTATGCTTGTGAATATTTAGCTGTGATATTGGCTGGTGGAAATGGTGTATTTGGTGGCACGCCTCAAAGCTCCCAGTCTGATGAAGATTCTTCAAATACCACAGTGAGTTATTGGTTCTTTTGTTAAACAATACGTAAAAATCTTTGTTCATTTTCGCTAATATGTTCAAATTTCGACAGATCTTTGTGGGTGGACTTGACTCAGAAGTCAATGATGAAGACTTGAGGCAAACCTTTATTCAATGTGGCGAGATTTTGTCTGTTAAAATACCTGTAGGAAAAGGATGTGGCTTTGTCAAATTTGCAAACAGGTAATGATCGTCAAAGTTATGCACTGTCATTTGGATTTGATTAAAAGACCTTGTAGAAGGTGAAAAGCAGTCGATTCACATGATTTTCTTCGTTATTTCTTGATTATATAGAAGCAGCGCGGAGGATGCAATTCAGAACATGCATGGTACAGTAATCGGCAAGCAGACAGTTCGTATATCATGGGGTAAAACTCCAGCCGGCAGACAGGTATGGTTTCTTTCTTTCTTTCTTTCTTTCTTTATATGACTTCATTTTTAAGTTTTTGTAAACAGACACCTTCCTGTTTCTGCATTTGCAGGCTATTTATGTCGTGTTCTTTTAAACCAAATTCCAATGTTTGACCTCACATGCAGTTTAATAAAGAACTTAACCATTAAGACAAAAATCTCAAGTACCCTTCAGTCCTGACAAAGTAAGGGGCTTTTTGGAAAACCAATTGAAACGATAGGTTTATAAATACTCAAAATGGCCTTTGCTTAAGGGATATACTGTCAGGTTCAAGGGAAAACCGTAAAAAAATAAAAAATTGAGGAACACCCTAATAAACATTCATCTATACTATGTCTACATGTGCATGCAAGTAATTTGTAAGTAATTTTTCTAGTGTGAACATGTGCATAACATGCAGACATGCATAGAAACCAGGAAATATATTCAATTACTTGTATGCATATCATACAGATTGAACAGTTATTAGGGTTTTTTCAGTTTTCCATTTATATGTTATGTAAGAAGAAGCATGCAGAGCAGTTGGTGTTATACTGACAAGTGATGTTTGAAATCCTTGGACAGCGGATGGATTCAAATGGAAACTACCAAGGAAAGCAAGGTTATGGAGGTGGTGGTTATGGGTATGGCATGCAACAGAATCAGGATGCAGGCATGTATGCAGGTTATGAATCCAATGGGTATGGAAATCATCAACAGCCCGTAAGCTAAGCTAAATACTGTTCTATTTCTGGTTAGTCAAGTGGAGACGATGATGAGATATGAAAAGACCTATAATTAATACTTTTATCTCTTATTATGGCTTAAAGATTATTGATAAATGTAACTGCAAGCAGGTCTTTAAATATTGATGATGATCTTATTTTAAGTTTTAAGTCTTTATTTGTATGTTAATATATGATATGATGTTGCAGAAGATCAAGTCCTACAAATGAAAACTCATTCAACTTGGCATATTAATTGGGAATTCTTTTTAGGTTTTTATTTCAGGTAAATTTAAGTAACACGCTCCACCACCATAATGTGAGTGAAAATATACAAAAAATAAATAAAAAATCTTGAACGGCTAATTTGTATGTCATTTGTAACAATAATATATATATATATTATATCTTAATTAATATATTAATTAATTGGGTTGAATTGGTTCTACAAATATACATGGTTGCATTTGAAATATATCCTTTTATATATATATATATATATATATATATATATATATATATATATAAAGGTTCTTTTGTTATTTATAAAAGGAGGGTGAAGATGTAAAACATGTACATCTTTTGAAAGTAATAAATACGTCAACTAAAATTAATAACCGGAGAAAAGAAATACGTGAAATACGAGAAAGTCTTTTAAAATTTGTTTATCTTATAACACAAAATATTAGAATTATATATAATACCTATAATATATGGATTCATGTATATATTGGATATTTTAGATTTAAAAGTGAGTAATATATTTTCATCTGAAAAATTAAATTGAAGTGTTTATCTTGAATTTGAATGTATTCATCGATTATTTATAGGGAAAATCACTAAAACGACCAAAATATACCTGATGTATTAACGAAATGACCATTTTTTAACAAAATTGCCAAAATAACCATATGGATTGCCCCCGAGGGGCATGCTTTGACCATGGGGCGATCCTACTCAAATTTGACCAAATAGTATGAAATAATAATAAAAAATTAATTTGGTGGGGTTCACATGTATCTACTTTAGGAAACCAACCCCTATTCTTCTCGATAGATGGGATCGCCCCCCACCTCACCAGATCTACCCCCGGGGCGATCTGTTCTTTTTTTTTTTATCACTATTTTGTCTTTTAGTGTATATTGATTAATGAGTGTTTTTAATAAATAGAAAACGATCTAAACTGATTTTTTTTACCGTTTTAGGACCAAATCTTATGGTTTTACTTTATAAAATAAAACACTTCTATTCTCATAACCAGTAAACCAATCTACCGCGACAACCTTTAAAACAATATGCTTGTACGTGAAGATTTCTAATTTTTATCACTTTTTTTAAAGCGCATAAATTAACCAATGAGTTTTGTTATATTTTCTTATAAGAAATATATTTTTACCACACTAAATGTTGATATTCTATAATAATTGTGGACACAAAAAAAAATTATTTATATCTTATTTATGTAGTTTGCCGTTATTTCGTCTTTTAGTGTATAAATCGATTTGACAATTAAGGGGTGTTTTTAATAAATAGGGAACAATTTAGACTCTGATTTTTTAAACTGTTTTAGGACCAAATGTCATGGTTTTACTCTATAAAATAAAACATTTCTACTTTCACAACCCATAAACCGTAAACACAATCTACCATGACAACCCTTAAAACAATATGAAAGTACGTTAAGATTTAAAAAAAATTATCACTTTTTTTAAACGCATAAATTAACCAACGAATGTTGTTATATTTTCTTATAAGAAATATATTTTTACCACATTAAATATCCTGAATAATATTTCTATCAGTTTTTACTACTATTGATAGACTTAAAATTCTACTTTCTTGTTCATGACTATGTAAGGTTGTATATGTGTGTTATTAATGCGGTGTTTTTTCATACCAAGATGCACCACTAAAACATCATTTTGCAAATTTGGCTTATGTCATGTTTGTGGGTTCTCTATTTTGCTATCATATGTTATTGGCCCCGATTGCATAATATGTCTGGTTTTGGTTGATTTGAAAGTCTCTAATTTATTGTAACATTCCAAAATTTTGATTACTTAAATATATCAAAATTAGTATCCCAAGATCAAACACTTACATTGCAGCGRAAATAAAATTTCTAATCTTACAATTTATATCACCATCTAAACTTACAATCTTGACGAACATACTTAGTTCGATATAACAATGTCTTGATCTGCACATGTTCTTCTTTGATGCTAATCATTATTTATCTCTTTATCCAACTTTTCTTTCCAGTCTAATAGCCGCCTGGGTGAAAAAGTTTTTAAAGAGTTTTGGGTGAGGCTTAGGCCCAGTGAATCCACGGTTTTCATGCATGAACAACAATTTTTATAAAAAACAATTTTCACGAAGCTTCATAAATTTAGCATGCCTTGATGAGAATAATGATTTTCACAAAATAAAGATATTTTAGCGCATGTCTACATCACAAAGCAACAACGTCATGGGAGATGTCTACCTCACACAGCATTACATGACGAACTCACACAACATGTTCGCACTTACGGCTTAGACAAGCTTACAAAGCATGCTCGTCTTTACAAATTCATATTGTAGTACATTCCATTGACACACAAATACTCAAAACACATATAAAAATATCGAACTTTTCACGCATATATAGCATATCAAAAATCTCGAGAAACTTCAAACAACTTTTGGATAATAAGGCATGCAACCATTTTAAAAATAAATCACGTGTAACTCACAATACATGGCGTAGCCCAAACTGAACTTTGAAGTGGTTAGCGTCTCCCCAATTGGTGTCAAACTAGCTACGATATAGAGCACCGTCAACTCTCATTACAACGTCTACCGTCGCCTTTTCTCACAATAGTTCTCCTTTTTGACCCCAAACTACACATAAAGTTACAAACTCCTATTTTATACTAAGCTCCATCGGCGGTTTCACGGAATATGAAACGATAAGCCATAATAAATGATCGTAGGTTTCATGACCATTGAGTTTCCTGTCATTAAATTGCATTCAATTTTAGGGTCTAAACCCTTCACTTTGATCGTTTTACACTATAAGTCCTTGAAATTTAACGACTAACAATACCTTTTTTTTTTGGTTATTACATTTACCTTTCAAATTGGCGATGTCATGTATTTCTACAATTACTTCTATAATTCGGTTAAATATTTAGCCTTCTAAAAGGTTCAATTGAATCTATGTTTTCAATGCCTTTAACATCAATTTTTAGTTTGTTGTATGCATTTTTGCAGAATTTATAGCCAGACATTTGGACCTTCTCGAACTGTTTCTTTTTAAGTAATAAAAATATTTGTGCCAAAATAATAAATACGGAGAAGAAAAGGTTGGAACAACATTTTAGAAAACGACGAAAAGATCAAAACATATTGTATGGGTTCTACATTTACACACATAACAATGACTTTTATTAGTTTTGCCTTAATCCATTTGTGTTTATAAGTTTTTTATGGAATTATACACTTTACAGTTTTATACATTGAAATATGTGTTCATATTTCTCGTGTTAGTAGACATATGGATGCATTATAACTTCTATGTGTGGATATCAGATTCTAAAAAATTGAGACCATGTTTTGCGAGATTGATTTTGGTCTGGCCTTAGGCATGTTGACACATTAAAGTTAGCCCTTTTTATCATCCTCTGTTTTAGTTTGTTGAGGGCTGTTGATATTTCAATATTTTACCATATGGTATATTGTATTATTTTTTCATAGAAAGGACACATGTAAAAATATATTACATATTCCTTTGTTGTTCATTCTCCTTCAGTATTTGGTCGGTCTTATTGTTAGCATTTTTCATTGCACATCATGAGAACTGTACTTTTTTTAATTATCTTGCATAGATTTGTTGGTGGTGTAGAGAGGACGGTGTGGGATCTATGGTTCCAATTGTGCATAATGAGTTATGTGCATGGAGGTGCTTTAGTACGCTTTGTGTAAAATCTTTCTTGGTTAGTTGTAATTGCCGGTGATGTTTCTAAGTGTAAAGCAGATGGTCGTCCCGTGATTAGTCAGCTCGCATAGTGGGTTGAATATCCAGGTTAATAAAAAAAAATCAAGTATCCATGAGTCTTCTTGTATTACTTGTAAGACTCCCGGTCCTTGTCTCGCTTTTATCGGGTAAGATCCAATGAGATTTGTGTGAGGATCTTTTTTAATAGTGTTACCAGTCTTTAAAACAATAAATATGAGGGTTGTTTATCAAGGATTTGTCCCTAAAACAAGAGTTATATAGTGTTGTTATCAGGTGCAGGTCCAGAGGGGTTGATTGGGGCTTGTTTCGGAGACGTTTAGAATCTGTTTAGAAACTGATTTTGATATGTTCTTTCGTCTCCGTCTAGAGGGATTCGATAGGGGTACATTGTGAGATAATAGGAGTATTACTTGGAATGCCAATCGAGTTAGGATAAAACCTTTGTCACATAAACTTATGCTCAGATTTCTCATATTATCGATTTGTTCAGGTTGATAAATCGTCGCTTTGTTTGAGATCTGTTTCCTAGAAGGTTTAGAATTTGTTTAAAGTCATGTCGTATACCCCACCAACGGACAAGTATAACACTAGTTACTACTAGTGGTTAAACATGTCTTAGGGGCCGTTTACTAACCTCTTACCGCCTCTTACCCGGCTCTTATCCATTAAGAGATGCTTACCCGGGTAAGAGGTAAAAGTGTTTACTAAAAAAAAAAAAAAAAAAACTCACCTCTAACTGTCTTCTTACCATAGTCGGTAAAAAAAATCAATCTTACCATGGTAAGAGGCCTCTATTCCTTCTCTACCCCTCCCATAACCCCTCCCATCTAAAACCCTAAATCGATAGCTCTTCTTCATACGAAACTGGTGTGACAGGTTTTCTTCAGGTATGGTAATCGATTTCCAAGAGATTTCTTATTTCTTCTATTGATATCTAATCCTAATCGATTTCTTGATTTCTTCCCTTCTTTTGATTTCATAAATATGCAAAGAAAAGAAGAGGGGATCTTCGTATTTTCTTCTCTGTTGATTTCGTGAAGCTTCAAACCAACCGACTTTCTAGGTATTCCATTTTCTTCTCTATTCTTGCAAATGGGTTGATTTTGTTTTTGTTATTCTCTACTTTATTTTCTGCAAATGGGTTGATTTTGTATTGAATCTGCTCTAATGGGCTTACCATTGAAGAAGAACACATGAATGATCTTGTTTTTCTATCAGCCAAGT